TGAAAATTTTGAGATATCCTCAATTTAGAGAAATAAAAGATGAAGTGTTAAAGTATCAGTTTTGTATGATTTTTCATCAAATTTAAATTTGATGAAACAAATGAAGGATTGAAAATGGTCTTAGATTTGAAAAAATGCAATTACCTTCACAAGTTGACATAATTACACTGATATATTTTAGTAAAGTTAAAATGATTAAAATTAATATAGATAGAGAATAAACTAAACAAATTAAAATCTACATTGTAATAGAAAATATATGATAAATTTATCACTTTATTCATATGGAAAGATAGGTTGTGGACTTTTTTTGCAATTTTAGTTATAAAAGATAAAATAGGCTATTTTAGCCACAACAAACAAAACATCACATCTAACCCATAATCATTACACTCTTTTCTTACAAAAAAAAGTAAAAAAAGTCAAAAAGACCTTCTCAAACCAAGCTTTTAATCCAGACTAAAATAATCAAAAAAACTAAAAAGTCAAAAAATTAACCCATCTCCCAAACCAACTCTAAAAATATATGATGAATTGGAATTTTTTTCAAGTCTATAAGGCGAGTGCTGTCCTTCCATTTTACCTTTTGTGGACTGTTTTTCTCTGGTTGTCTTTCTGACACATTTTTTGTTTCCTAATTTTGAATTATGAAATTAACAAGCGTTGGCAATTCATGATGATGAGTGACGGAAGCTCAGCTGCATATCAATTGTTCGTGGCGAGTCATTCCATATATATATTATTACCATCAACATTAACCTTAACATGGATTTAATGAAACTAATTGTGTCCTAATCAAAGTATTATCTTAATAAATTTGGCGGTAATTGTATATGGATAAAGGATTTGACGTGTCACTTCTCTATGGGCTTAACCAATTATTCGTTTTAGGGTTGGTTTGGAAAGTGAGTTGACTTTTTAGCCTTTTGACTTTTTTAGCTATTTTAACTTGGGTTAAAAAGCTTGGTTTGGGAAGAGCTTTTTGACTTTTTGACTTTTTTGACTTTTTTTGTGAGAGAAGAGTGTAATGATTATGGGTTGGGTTGGATGTGATATTTTATTTTTTGTGACTAAAATAACTTATTTTGTCCTTTGTGACTAAAATAGCCAAAAAAAACCCCTAACCCAACTTGCCAAACGGAGGTTTAGTTTCGTTTGGAAAGATAAGTTAAGTTAGATTTGAAAGTAAAAAGATAAAATATCACATTTAATGTATAATTATTAAACAGGCTTTTTAGTTGAATAAGATAAAATATCACATCAAATTCATAATTATTACATTCTTTTTCTAAAAAAAAATTAAAAAAGTCAAAAAATCTTTCCAAATGAAGCTTTTTAGTCATAAGCTAAAAAAATCAAAAAACTAACCCACTTTTCAAATAAACCCATTGTACTCAGTCACTTTCATGTGAAAAAATTATTATTAATAATCTTATACTGTGTTTCAAATCTAAATTTGAATAGAAATTTAAAAATAAAAAAAAATTATAAAGAAACAATTTAGAAATTTGAAAATTAAAAAAAAAATCAATTTATATTTTATTCATATTGCCTTCACATTTTCTCTTTTTTTTTTTTAAATTTTTTACCCAAATACATAATCTAAATGTAGTGTTAGATTTCCATGTATCATTGTCTACTTGGTACTCTCGCTAAATAACAAAGGATAAATTATATTTTGTCCTTCTCATGTTTGGTCATTTTCTCATTTTGGCCTTTAAAATTTATTTTTCTCATTTTGATCTTTCATGTTTCAAGTTTTTTTCATTTTACTCCTAAACCTAATTTTTGTTAAAAATTAAATTGAAAATGACACATTAACAGTTACGTGGTATAAAAATATTTTATTATATATGACTCATACCTCTGATATAAACTTAAACACTAATATAATAAAATAATTTTTATATTATGTGACAATTATTGTTAGATTTTTCTGTCTAATTTTGAATAAAAGTTAGCTATAGGAGTAAATTGAAAAAAACTTAAAACATGAAGGGTCAAAGTGAGAAAAAATAAATATTAAGGGCCAAAGTGGAAAAGTGATCTAATATAAAAGGGACCAAGTGTAATTTACTCAAATAAAAAATTGTGACACAATCATTTGAGTCATCATTTGTCTCTAAACTATTTAATAAAGATTAATCAGTATGTTTTATTTGTAAAACTTTTCACTACATAATTGGTTTTGAACATAAGAATTGTCACATGGTAAATGTGGAAGGTAGAAATCTTTTCTACAGGAAAAGTGAGATGAGGTGCTTCTTCCTTTACTTTGCAAAGAGAAACCAATTCGTCAGTGATCACTTTTAATCATGGATGATCGAGAAGACCCTCCGACGATCAAGTCAAAATGATGATTGGCCATATAATATTTTGTTAAAAATAAGTCTTTGTTACCTCCTTTTGTTCTTTCTCATTCCTTCTTTTATAGTATTATTATCTTGGTTTTTGGCCATTGGATTAATATCCTGATCTAAGGGCTTTGCTTGTTCCTGGACATTGGTTAGGCAAGTGGCGAAGTTGTCTTGATCCTCTACCGTTAGATCATCTTGCTGTGGGCAACTTAGATTATGTCAGGTATTAGTGGCCAATCTTGCTGATTGCTTCGTCCGTCTAATTAAGATCATCGGATGGGTGTGTTGTTTGGGTAGATTGAGCCTACGCCGTTATCTCTGGCAATTGTTGTCCTTACCGTTGATTATGAATGGATCTAAGGGCTTCCCTATATTCTGCAAATCTTCTTCTAAAAAGCGATTTTACTCAAGCTTTGGTCACGTGACATTGTCTCTTTATTCTGTTAAACCTAACGATAACCTGGGCCATTCTCTTAGTTCATCCTGTTTGGCTAGGCTTGGGCTTTGAGCTAATATTTTATCCCTCCACAGTAGACTACTAGAAAATTACTTCTATTGATATTTTAAGAAACAATATAAAATGTGTGAATTAGTTATTAAAGTGGAATATTGCTCCTATAATTATCATCACAACAATAAAAAAGGGTTTTTACGACACCAAATGCACGTCGTGGATACGATTCTACGACGCACAACGTAAAGTCGTATTATGACTAGTCATGAAAAGTTATTCATTTTCAAGAGCATGCTATTTTAACAGTTAATCTTATACATCATGTTTAATTTTTCTACGACTACTTTGCGCGCCATTAATTCAAGGGACAAACAATGACACTCATTGCTAGTCATTAAATATTTAACACAACGGTCTATTATGCCTGTCACAAAATATGTTTATTTATTTATTTTAAATTCAGCAAGTTCTATTTCACTTGTTCTGTATAGTCTAAAAAAAATATTGCAAACAAGTTTCACAAATATATATATAAGTATCAATCAATCACCAAAATATTATTTCAGACATCAAAAAACTTATTCATAAGTTTCGAACATCCAAAAACTGTTTGTACATACCAAACCATCCAAAAACTATGTTTTCTAAACATCAAAAATTGTCCTCAACTTCAAAACCGTCCAAAAAGATCTAAATCATCCAAAAAAAAAAAAACTGTCTTTAAGTTCTAAATAGTACAAAATTTACCCAAATATCTTCTTGAGAGTGCACCATCATGGGTTGATTCAATTGCATCAACACACAACTTGTGCCCTCCATATCTTTATAATGGAGAATTCCGAGCATCGTGGATTTCATCTTCAGGAGCTTCCCTTCTTAGAGCAACCAAGTTTGAAACAACATCAATAGAAATAGTATATATGGGATCATAAGCATGGATAGAGTACTTCCTTCCAAGAAAATAAGATAGTGGCTCATACCTGCATGAATTAAACTAATTTGATTACTTCATAATAACAATTATAAATTTAGCACTTAGCACTAATTCGTGCCTATGATAGCTCTAATTCTAACTTCTACAAAAATTTCGTAGGTTGCCTCTTTGCCACATAGCAAGAAAAACACTTTATATTATAATGTATCAATCTCCTCCTAATCCAATGTAAATGTTTCCAAATTAGTTAACATAATTAAACCAAGAAAAATCATGTTGAAAAGGGAAACAAAATGAGGCTCAAGATAAGAGAAAAAAAAAATCCTAGTTATTTGCTTGCATTACAAACAATAGTGGGGTGTAAATAAAAAAGTTAACATTCATTCAGAAAAATCATGAGAAACTAGCCTTGATAGCATGTTGCCCTCCAATGGACCAAACCCACCACTATGACCATCTAGAGAAAAATTGATAAAAAAAATTAGATAGAGACACTCTAAAGCATTAACTCCTCCACTAGATTAGTTACCAAGTTCAGAAACAAAGTATGCAAACCTTGAGAATGCATTAGCATGGTGAGCATCATACAAGAAAGCCTACAATAGTTCTTCATCTCCACAGTACATATAATATGAAATCACTTTAACAAATAATGACAAAACAGATATAATAACTTTAATAAATATTATATATAGAGTTATGTAGCTTTGAATTCTATTGGTTGTAAAATTGCTTCAAGGAATCCAACAAACAAAAAACCAAACACATTCCATGCTATGTATACTACATAAAATGTCTCTGGAGTTGTAAAACATTTAGGACATAATTACCCCACTAAAAAAAATAATGATAACAGTAGCCTCCATATTCTTTTAAATGGGTATTCACGAGCAACCAAATTAAACTTAATTTAATTGGACAAATTCATGAGTTCGAATTGAGTTTGTAACCTTTAAGCATAATTCATGCAACCAATTTAAAGTAATCTCATGAACCCGATGCTAAATTGTATAATTCTAAAATTTTTAGCCCTTGAAGTTGTGTTTTGAGCAGCAGATCAGAAAAAACACGAGTAGCATCATTCACAAATCAATATTAATTAAGACGTCATACAAATTATTTGGGTTTAGCAGAGGAATTATTTTCTACCAGCTAGACACTTCTCTAGTGCAGCAAGGCAAGCTTGGAATTACAAATTTGATCAATTTCAATCATTCCATTCATAGATTTTGAAACAGGACCAATCCAATAAAAGGGTTTGAACTTCTAATTTAAGTTTTAAAGGAGTTCTTTAAAGTTTATAAGCTTGTTCATGGTAAGTCTGGAAAAGCATACTAGTGTTTTCTTGTGAGTAACAGTGATTCTCTTGGACTTGCATCCAAGCACACGGAACTGTAGTTCAGCTCCAACCTGCACAGAAATTACCAAAGATAACATTAAACAAAGTAACTGACAAGAAAAAGAATCATCTCTTTTAACAAGATGAAAAAAAACAAACAAACAAAAAGTATTTCTGCTCTCAATATACATCATGAACTGGTGCAAACTACCCACAGAAAAAATGCAGTAATAAAAGCATCTTTAAGAGGACATGTTGCTTAAAAATAACCTGAAACTTTTTTCTAGGCTTTGCTATTTCAAACTCTGACATATGTCGAAGGGGACAAAGTGACTTGACACCACTGGGAAATTGAACAATGGCCCCAAAATTGTCCACAACAGTTACTTTAGCTCTTACCACCATGCCAGGCTTCACATCGGAGTGAGTGAAAACTGAACCTTCAAAGGCGCTACTCTGCTTAAAAGAAAAACGCAAGGACAAGAATGTATGCAACCAGATAAGCCACATATTCATTAGTAACATTGAGGAAGCAAAAACACCATTTTTTCACACTTAACCATATAAATCCCCTTAATATATTCCAACCAGTCCGCTATTTATATTTACATTTCAGCAGTAACAAGGCAATTTGTAAGCCAAAACAATCATTTCTTTTTCATTAGAGAAAATTCATTACTAGAAGAAGCACATCAAAAAGCCTTAAATCAGAACATATCTTGCTAAAACATTTTTGCTAATCAATCAATAACAGCACCCAATCAACAGGAAAAGTATATATTAAAGAATGATGCTGTAGACAGTGTGCAATACGATTTGGTGGACTAAGAAAGGTGTATATTGAAAGGGATGGGATTAAATCAACAGATGAACCAAAGCTTTATGTGGATACAAAATTGAACATCAATGAGAAAAATGTACTTAGAGATATAATCATGATAGGGTATGAAATCACTAAATAAAATACATTAATAGTTCCAAGATCCCAATCAAGTGGCACTCTTTATACAAACAAAATATCCTATGAATCCATTCAACACTTGAGAAACGGAATTTAACCTTCTAAGTTATGTTACCTAGAATGTGGATCATTCCAGTGCAAGGAATGGGAACAGGAACGTAATACACCACATGCTCTAAAATGTGGTACGATAGAGGTGGACTTCTTAATTTAATATCCAATATATTATAGTTTATTTTTCTTCAAATTGATGATTCAACAACACACTTCTATGAATATTAAAGCCCATTGTTTTACATTTTCATAATCCAAAACTCCATTCCATCTCAATTTTAGTTCATTATATTTAAATTTTCCCTATTAAGGAGACCTTTTAATAAAAAACATAGAAACAAATTATGGGACCACTAAATTCACCATTTTGGAACAAAAGTGTACCATGTTTCGGAACGTGCATTCCAAAACGTCGCTAAGGTGTTGGCATTTTCTAGTAACACTACTTCTAAGTAGACTATATTTCTATAAGTACAAATAAAGTTTTATAGAGACCCTGGTGCACATGTAATGCACACAAAACATTAGTACACATGCCTTGCTGGGTTACCTAAAACAAAGGCAATAAACAAACTGTTAACAAGAAATTTTTGAAAGCCCAAAAGACCTTCAAAGAGGGTATATGTTAATAAAAACTTAAAAATTAAAATTAAAAAAAAAAAAAAACCTACAAATCTTCTATGTTTTTTTCCCCAACAATGTTCCTTCACCATGTGGAAGAAATGGGGACGTGCTATCCAATAAGAACCCAACGCACAATGCTAACTGAAAACAAAGGTTGTATCCAGTGCATTACAGCGGAGTCTTGGAGAGGTACTAGGTAGGCAGGCAGCCATCCCTCCACTCTTTTTCTATAGTGGTTTTTTAGCAGAGAGGCTAATTCTCGTGACTCAAACCAACGCCACAACAAAATATATGTAGTTCTTTTAAAAATTAGTTCATCAAACTGAGGCCAAAAATTACAGCTCCTTGTCTTAAAAATGTAACTTTTCTTGTAAAACAAATAAAAACATCATAAATGGTAATGAAGTCCCGGAGGAAATTTACTTGTGTACGTACATATAATGTAACCAGTACAAAAGCACACACAAAAGAGTCCAACCATCAAAAGCACCACAATAACAACCTAAACTAAAATATAGTTCAACCTAGAATATTCAACCTCAAATAGAATTCAATGGAAGATATAAAAGTGACCTTTAAAACACCCATAGCGAGCCCTTCCAAGTGCCTAAATCCAAGAATCCGAGCACGAACATGGCTCCCTTGCTTGAAGTTTTTTTCCAATTTCCTAACATCCTTGTCAGCGACATCAGATACCTATGAATCTCATAAATTAAATATTACCATTACAAAATCAGTAGCCCAGCTGAATAAAATCAAGATCACCACTACAACTTAAGATGCCAGGATGAACTAACACTGACATATGCTGGAGTTGGGATTGGAGAAGTAGGGACCTCAAGTAGAAGACCGAATCCTCTATCCACCCTGATTACTTTTGAATGGTCACTTTACATTATTTAAGTTGTTTTGAATATTTATTGTTGCTTTAATGTTGGAGATATTGGATAGTTATAAAATTAAGGTGGATGGTTTGGTTAGCGTTTTATTAGTTTTTTTTTTATCCCTTGTAATCTTTTGAGCATGGAAATTTACTAAAACTTTATGGAGACGAGAACGTTTAGATTTTGTTTTACCCTTAGGATTTGGATGATGGAATATTGATTGGGGTTTAGTCCTAATTTAATATTTAATTGTCCAAATTTTGCGGTATGACAGTTTGGTATCAGAGCTCTAGATTACCCTAGACTTGTGAGAGTTTAGGTGATTCTTGGATTGTGGAAACATGGGTTAGTTGGTTAAGTTTGGTGGTTAAATTTATTCTAAGTATTTATGAACGAATTTTTTTTGTGTTTAACTTGTAGGTGATGGTTGGAAGGTATAATTTAAGAAGTGGTGAGCCCAATGGCAGAGGGGAAGAAACAACTGCTAACGCGGTGACGGCAGTGGCGTCACCGCGTTAGCGGCGACAGTAGCTACTACCGAGGAAACCAATACGGTGCAGGTTAATGTGGGGGAGATGATGGCTCAGTTACTTCAGGTTGTGTAGAACAATAACCAAGGTCAGCAGGGAGATCCCTTTGCAAAGAGAAACAAAGACTTTGGTTCTTTGAAGGGTAAAAAATTCTCTGGAGATGACGGACCCATTGCAGCTGACGCTTGGGTTTAGAAATATGAGATGGTGTTTGGTCGTATGCAGCTCACCGAGGTCCAAAAACAGGAGTTGGCGACATATCAACTTGAGAGAGCAATCCTATTTTGGTGGAACTCGTGGAAGGAGGGTCTAGATTTGACGACTTTGACTTGGGCAGATTTCAAGACCCATTTTGACCGGAAGTTTGTTTTTGCTGCTATTCGGTCTCAGCTAAGTAATGAATTTTCGAAGCTGACTCAAGAGGGTAGAACAGTGATTGAGTATGTCGCCAAGTTTAATGAGTTGTCTTGATATGCCACTGACTTGGTTAACACGCAGGAGAAGAAGAATGAGAAGTTTATTAAGGGATTAAATCATTACCTGTCTAAGTCCCTTATTTCTTTTGATGCTGAACTATTTGACAGAGTTCTTGACTTGGCACTGAAGTATAAGGAAAAGAAGAAACAGTTTAAAGAAGGGAAAGCCAAGGTCGGAGAGACATCTAGAGGGAGTCACTTCCAGCAGCGTAATGGGAATAGATACCGACCTTGCGATCAAAGGCATAGAGGTCAGTAGTTTCGGAGGCCACAACAACAGGGTAGTCAAGGAAATTTCAAACCTCAGGGCAATTTCAGGCCTCAAGGCAATTTCCAGCCACAGGGGCACTATTATCAGAGACAGAGTGGTCTACACCTATAGGGTTATCAAGGATAGCGGCAGCAAGTGCCACAGTTGGGTTATCGTCCTCCTATACCTCAGTTGGAGGGGCCTCCACCGATCAGAATAGTAGCACCTCAACCGATGAATATGAACTGTTTTGGGTGTCAGCAATTGGGACATGTAGTCAAGGATTGCCCTCAGAGACAGCAGGCGTGACAAGGTCAGGCAGCCCCAGCCAGAGCATTTGCAATGATGCTAGGAAATGACAAAGTGCAAGGTACTTTTAATCTTTTTCAAGAACCCATTAGAATACTTTTTGATACTGGTGCCTCTTATTCTTTCATATCTAGACAGTTTGTAGAAAGAGAACACCTTGTAACTATCTCTTTATCTAGACCTATTCGTGTTGAGACCCCTTTAGGAGGGGCAGTTACTTTTTATGAGATGTGTAAAGATTTTGAAATTGATTTTGCGGGCAAAGTCTTTTATACGGACCTAATTGTGTTAGGGTTTAAGGGGTTTATAATTATTTTAGGTATGGATTGGCTGCAAAAATACTTTGTGACTCTAGATTGTGCTGGAAGGACTATAAATATAGATATTCCCGGTATGCCACGGCTTACCCACACTTCTAACAATGGAGAAAAGTCAGTGATTACGAGTTTTCTATGCTCAGTAGAAATCCCTAAGCAGGATATTAGTGAGGTAGATGTGGTGTGTGAGTTTGAGGATGTATTTCAGGAGATACTTGGACCTCCACCTCGACGAGTAGTAGAATTTTGCATTAACCTAGTGCTGGGAATTGCACCGATTTCTAAGGCGGGATACAAAATGACACCTAAGGAGCTTGTAGAGATGAAGAAGCAGTTAGAAGAGATGTTTCAAAAATGGTTCATTTGTTCAAGTAACTCCTCGTGGGGAGCACCCGCGATTTTTGTCTCCAAGAAAGATGGCACTCTCTACATGTGCATAGATTACGGAAAGCTGGACAAGGTGATTATCAAGAATAAGTATCCGTTACTTAGAATTGATGACTTGTTTTATCAGTTGAAGGGGGCAACTGTGTTTTCTTAGTTTGATCTCAGAACGGGTTACCATCAGATGGGTGTGTCAGAGGAAAGTATACCACTTACTGCTTTTCGGACTCGGTATGAATTGTACGAATTTCCTGTAATGCCTTTTGGTTTGACCAATGCTCCTGCCTATTTCATAGACTTGATGAATAGAATTTTTCAACCGTATCTAGATAAGTTTGTGATTATCTTCATAGATGATATCCTGGTGTATTCTAAGAATGAGGAAGAACATAGAGAACACTTGAAAGTTATATTGCAGACTTTGAGGGAGCAGCAGTTATACTCTAAGTTCAGTAAGTGTCACTTTTGGAAGAAAGAAGTTCGATTTTTGGGACATATTGTATCCAATCAGGGGATAGCAGTAAATCCTAAGAAAATTGTTGCGGTCAAAGAATGGAAGCAACCCACAAATCCTTCAGAGGTGAAGAGTTTTTTAGGACTAGCCGGTTATTACAGGAGATTTATAGAGGTTTTCCACTATGTAGCTCGACTTTTTCGCGCCCCCTTTTAGAAGTCGAAATAAGCCTTACAGTATCGGACTCCCGCGGTTCTGAATCTGATTCCACAAGTGCAATGTAAAGTAGATAAACACCAAAGAGTCCAAATTTGTCAAATCTTTTGAAAAATTAATTTTGAATCAAATTGCCAAAAATGGACTGCTTTGCCAGATACAAAATCGCCACCTAAATGTTTTATTTTGGAAAAATTTAGGAAACCCATGACTCGTGCCAAAGGTCACGTGTCCATCATCACCAAGATTGTCTCGGCTGGGGAACTTAGGTACGAGAGGGGAAGGTCATGAATTGAGTACCCACATTCGTCCGATCAAAGATCAGCCTCTATTAATCATGATATGAATCTTACTTTGCGTTATATGTTCTTGTTCCGATTATTAATCTAGTATTACTATGTGATGTGCACATACAAGTATAGAGTAACTTGCAAAAATTGGAACGCTTGAGTCATATTTGTTTTCTGAAAAGAGTTTGAATTTGTCACTTGAAAAGTGGGCTTAAATGTGCATGGCTCAAATTATTCCAATTCAAACAATTAGCCTTTATCCACAAGCATACAAGCAGGTATATCAATTAAGCATGTAGCCTCATGGTATGCATGCTAAACATGGAAACAATCACACTCATGCAATATGCTAAAGCAAGTAAAGTCTCACCTCGTACTCCATGCCAAAAAGACATAAGAAAGAGTTAGAAAAAAATACATGATTCCTAACTATGGAATATGACTAATGCAACACATGCGATATGTAATCTAAAATAGGCTCGACTACTTAACATGGCATATAAATCAATTGATAACATGTGGTTTAAGCACGTATTCAAATAAGTATTAAACTAACAATGCAGTTGGAATGATGAACCGAGCCTCGGTGCATGCAATACAAGTGGATGCAAACATGAAGAATGCTAATTTAAACGTGATGTCCCTATACTAACCATCAAAGCAATTAAATAAAAGGGAGAAAGACGTGGGGTTGGAAGACATACACATTATTACAACATTACGCTCTTACGAAGGAGAGTCCGAATGAATAAACTAACTAGCTAACTATTTAAGCTAAGCTAATTAATTAACTATTACAAACCAAATGAAATAAATTAACTCACAATTAATTAACTACTTTAGCTAATTAAATAATTACAACACAATTATAATTGAAAGAAATAAGTAAGCTAAACAACTAATTACTGCGCCTCGGGAAGCGAGGAATGTTCATGCGCATACTCAATTTCCACCCGAAAAGCCACTGTTTTGCTTCTAGAGAACCTCTGTTGCACAATAAAACACGTACACTGTTGCCCACTTCCAGAATGGCTCTATTCCGCCAAAGGAACACACTGTTGAATTTCCATTAATGGCCGGCCGGCCACTGGTGAGGGATGCCGGCCAGTGTATGGATCAGTGTATGGATCAGTGTATGGATCAGTCTAATATATACGCTGGGGTCATACGTTGGTGAGGGATGCCGGCCACTGGTGAGGGACGACCAGTGTATGGATCATATTTAGGTTTCGAGGTGGCGAGACTTGATTGTGGGCTGGGAGAGGGTTTGCAATTGTATTTGGTTTCTCGGGTGGTGCGATTACCTTGTTGTCAATGAGGTTTTGAATCTCATAACGCAGTCGGAAGCATTGGTCAGTATCATGATCGTGTTGTTGGTGAAACACACAATATTTTGCTAGGTTGTGTTTGGGTAGAAGAAGATCAGGTAGTGGGCGAGGTTCTAACGGTCTGAGGTGCCCCTTTTTAATCAGCACTTTCATGGCTTGGGATAGGGGGGCCGTTTGGTAAAACTTAAATTCAGCTTAAAGCAGCTTTTAGCTTAAATTAAGTTAGATTGGTGTGTTTGGCACAGATTATGGGGATAGATTATGGCTTATTTTAAGCCAAATTTCAGCTTAAATTTGAAGTTGCTTGGCAGGTGCTTACAAAAATAGATTATGCGCGCAACTGTTTTGGGAGGGGCAGAATGACTTAAATGCCCCTCCAAAACTTAAGGAATATCGAAAATGCCACTATATAAGCATGCCTCTTCAGCTCAGACCTAACTCTCATCTTCTCATCTGCTCTCAAACGACGCTGCTCCTCTTCTCCTCTCCTCTCGCTGCCGACTGCTCCAGACATCAAAATCGCCGGCGATCGTCCATATTTTCCGTTGATCTCCACCAAAAAGTAAGATTTGAAACCCTAAACCCTATGTTTTGTTATATATAGATATACATATATTAGATATATACATCGATTTAGGGTTTTTTTTGGTTTTTTGTTACTGTGTGTTAAAATCCATGAAGATTTGTGTTTGTTTGTGGTTCTGGTTGCTCTCTCGGTCTCTCTCTCTCTCTCTCTCTCTTATCGATTTTGGTTTGTGGTTCTACAGTTCTGTTCCCAAAAGCTATGTTTACACTCTCAAAAGTAATAATACAAACACTAAAAAATTTGCTGAAATGCTACCCGTGAATTATCACATTTCCTCTTAACTTGGCTTTGGGGCAAAAAAATAAAGGGACAGATTTGTAGGGCAAATATTGGACCGTTTAAGTATGCAAATCCTTTGTAATTGTTGACTTTTGTCAAGGTTGGAGTATTGCTTGCTCAGATTGGAGTATTTTCTTTTGTTCTCTTAAGCCGTGCCTCAAATCTTCATCTAGCACAGACACACATTCTTAAGGCATGCATGTTGATGTCTGTAATGTAGATCCCACTTTCATTTACTTTATCTTTTATTGGTAATATGAATGGCATACTTATAATGTTTCTAGCACTGGGCCAATTATTTCTTGCACAAATTCCGGAGAGTAGTTGTGTGTAATGTTTGGTGGACAACATGGCAGGCAACCAGCCATGTTGATAAATTTTCAACTCAGAGACATTAATCTAATAGTTATGATCTTGATCTTGCTCTTGCTATTTTTCACAGATAATTTGTACTTATGGCAACTGATTTGGTGACAGAGTTGTTCAACACTTGCAAACTGAATCGTTGATTTCAATATTAAAGCTTGGAATTATCATTTTTTATAACAGTGTATGAAAAATCATCTAAATATGAATAATCACAAGTAACCACTTCCTCTGCAAAATAGAAATGATTGGGGGGGCCTTAACAGATTTGTTAGAGTTTTTTTTTTTTTTTTTTTTAATACTGTTTTTAGGTTCACATTTTTAAAAATGTTTTTGGTCTTTTTTTGTTGCTTAATTGGCTAGTTTTGATTGTAATATCATACATTAGTCAAAGAAAAATGAAAACAATGAAAACGAATTTAGAGGGCATTTAGTTAGTCTGATCCTTTTGGATGAAAACAATGAAACTGTAGGGGAATATTGGATGAATATGGAATGCATAACTAATTCAATGAAAACAATGAAACTGTAGTTTTGATTTATGGATGAATATGGAATGAAAACAATGAAAACAAATTTATGGGTTCACGTTTTTATTCCAAACTTTTGTTTCTACCTGAAGCTGTTAAACTGCAGGGGTTATTTTAAACTAAAATACTATTAGTATAACTTATAAGTTTAACATTATTACTATTAGTTTAACATTATTCTGATTGATTTTTTTTCTTAAATTAGGTTATAAATTATTTTTCATAAATTATTTTTCAGTATTACTAAAATTATTTTTACTATTAGTTTAGGGCATGATGATTGACCTTTAAGAAGTGAGAAATGATAAATTTCATAGTTGTTCACTGAAAACCCCATTGACACAAGTTGTTATTCTTATTATTTTTAATATTCGTAACACCTGCAATTATATATCATCATGGTCGGTCTCGTCATTTTAAAAAATGATAGTAAGTGTTACATGTAGTACACATGACATTGCTAATTTTGTTGGACCAACATATGGGCTTGAAAGGCATTGGATTATCTCAAACTTCTTAGTGCTTAGGTGTGAATGCCTTTATTAATTTTACCTTTCTCATTAAGAAATGCCTTTTCCAAATGAGGATTTGGATTCAATTTTTCCTAATTAATGCAGAGGCATGTCATCCTCTAGTAACTATTATTCTAATGGTGAGAGCTTCGACTTGAGGTATGAGCCTTTGAAATGTGATTGTGGGCTAAGAGCTGCCATAAGGGTTACCGAGTCTGACAAGCCATCTAAAGGGAGACTATATTTCATTTGTGAGAAGAGAAATTGTCAATTTTGGAGGTGGTGTACCCCAAAATCTGTAACGATGTTAGAGAGGCTGAGGAACGAGAGCATGCTTGATCAAAATCAAAATATGGAGACTGTAGGACTAAAAGTGAAGAACCAAACGCTTGAGCAATCCAATGCTTTCATGAAGCAGCTTGTTGTGGGTCTGCTCACGATTTGTATTGTTATGTCAGTTGCATTACTCTTCAAATGATGATAGGTGCCATTTGGAGATACCCCATGTTTTTGTGCTAATGTAGTTTACTATGAACTATTGTACTAAGCTTTGTAATTGTTGAATGTTGACGTAGTTGCCATGTATGGTTGTTTTGGTTGGGATCTACCTGTTCTAATGCAAGCACTGATGAATGAGTTTGTTTTAAATGTTTTTTTTTTTTTTTTTCTTTCATAGAATGAGTAACCAAGACGAAACACAGTCTCAAAATAGGAACAATAAGGGAAAATCAAGTCAAGTACCATCCGTTAAATCTCATTGGGATGCAAAATCAAATGAAATTTTTATTAAGCTTTGTGTTGAGCAAGTCAAGGTTGGACATAGACCTGGTACACACTTAGATAGGTTCGATTGGGAAAATGTCATAAGTAAGTTTAAAAGTATGACTGGAAAAGCATACCAACGATTACAAATGAAAAATCATTGGGATGTTTTGAAAAAGGATTGGCTTTTATGGAATAATCTGTTAAGGGGCGAGACAGGATTAGGCCGTGATACATTGACTGGAGCTATATCTGCATCTGATGAGTGGTGGACTTTGAAATTGGAGGTACGTAAATTGCTTAATGTACATTTTGTTTGTTTTTAGTTTAAATACACCAAATTTTGTTACTTGAAATTGTTACATTTTCCTTTGTAATTGTTGCAGAGGTATCCTGATGCTGCTAAATTCCGGCGTATGCCGTTGCAATTCGCTGACGACTTAGACATACTATTCTCAGATGCAGCTGCTACAGGAGAATGGGCATACACTCCTAGCTCAGGGGTAATGCCTCAGACTGATGAGACGCCGGAGGAATTTCATACCCCACATGATGCTGAATTTCATGATGATGATTTGGAGGTGGTTCATCATTCCGAGTTAAACAAAAAACGGTCAGCAAACACTAATACTTCATCAACCAAGAGCAAGACAAAGAAGAAAGTCACTGGTGCAGCTCTGCTGAACAAGACACTTGATCGTATAGTTAATGTCGTTGAGTCATCTTCAGCAACTTCAACACAGACCTCATCAAGATATCCTTCAATTGCAGAATGTTTGGCGAAGTTGGAAAGCATCCCTGGTGTGTCCCCGGATGATGAGCTGTATGTATGGGTTGCCAGATTGTTCTTACGAGACAAGCGTCGTGAGTGCTTTATGAGTCTTCCAACGGATGAAGTTCGGTTGAGGTTTCTAAAGTTGGAGATTGAGATGGAGAAGACCACCACAGGTTATCACGGCTAGTTGTTTTTTACTTTATTTGTTGGACTTTGATGGATATTTATTGACTATGTTGGACTTTTATTATTAATATTTGACTATGTTGGACTTTGATTAATGTTGAAAAATGTTGGGACTTTTATTATTAATATATGACTATGTTGGACTTTGATTAATATTGAAAAATGTTGGACTTTTCATAGTTGAATGGTAAGTAAATAGTTGACTAGTTGAATGTTAGTTGAATAGTTGAAATGTTAGTTGAATAGTTGAATGGTTGGTTTCAATTTTGAATATGAATGGTAGGTGAATGGTTGTTTTTTTTTTATATATATGTACATGTTTTCCAGGTGGTGTGTTCATTTTACAGCTGTTTGTGGTGTGTTCAACTTGGTGGTGTGTTTTCTTTGTGGTGTGTTCAACTTTATTTTCCAGGTGGTGTGTTTAACTTTAATAGTCAACTGTTGTGTTCATTAAGGTAACAGTTTACAAAGTTCAATTTGCTTGCTATATGTAACAGTTTACAAAGTTCAATTAGTTTGAATTTTAATAATAATTCTAAAACTCTAAAACTCATTAAATGATAATTCTGTCAAAGTTCAAATGCTAATTCTGCTAATTCTGTCAAAGTGCAAATGGTAAATGATAATTCTGTTTGAATTTACAAAGTTCAATTTGCATTACTTGCTGTTTGTAACTTCTGATAAATGAAGTGAAGAAGCCGAAAAATGAAGTTCTGATAAATGAAGTTCAATTTGCATTAGCCCAGATGAAGAGGTAAGGCCAATAATAGTCTAGTAGATATTGCTAATTTTACATCTGTTTTTTCATTTATTTCTTTTACTCAAAAAAGTGTTTGGAATTTCATTCTGATTAATTTTAAAATAAATGTAAATTTGTCCTACATATACTAAATAAGAAATATTAAACCTAAGCCCTCAGGTGGATTTAAGCTTTTTTTTTTTTTAAATTTTAAAGTTGATTAAATCCATTCATAGATAAATAATGGATGACAGAAAATTATTCTATAGTGCATTAAGAGCTATGGAATAAATAATCTCCCATATTCCAACCATCTTGACTTTTTTTTATTTTATTTTATTAAAAAGGATTAGTAGCTCTATTCCTTAATAACTTTGAAATCTGTGACTGTAAATGAATATAATAGTAACTAAGCCTTTTAATGGGTAGGTATTTTGGAGATGAATAACAGTGATAGCGAATGGAATGATGATTACCATGATGAAGATACTGAAGATGAAGGCAGCACATTGGAAAATCAACAACATAACATGCTCTTAGCTACGGCGGCAACAGTTGCAGTGACATATGCGACAAATTATTTGGTAAAAGAACCATGTAGGACATCTAGTTTAACAGGGGGGAAGTGGATGGTAGAATTACAAGATGGGAATCGGACAAGAATATTTGAAAATTTTCGAATGGAAAGAGAGGTATTTTATCAATTGTGTGATTTGTTACATACAAAGTATGGCCTTGAAACTGGACGAAAAGTCTCGGTTCAGAAGCAGGTTGCAATATTTTTGTATATTGTTGGCGGTGACATACGAAACAGAAATGCCCAAGAAAGATTTCAACATTCTGGCGAGACTATTTCAAAGTACTTCAAGAATGTGTTAAAAGCTGTTACAAGGATGTCTATTGATTGGGTAAAGCCTCAACCAAGAAATGGTGTGCATCCATATATTCGAAGGAAGCGCAAACATTATCCTCATTTCAAGGTAAAAAAATGATTACAAGTGGAACTTCGGTAGTACATATAATAATGTTGGTCGGATATTTCTAATAATTTGTGACTAAAAATAATTTTATGAACTATTTTGTAATAGGATTGTATTGGAGCAATTGACGGAACACACATCAAAGCATATATATCTCCAGATAACCAACCTCGTTTAATAGGTAGAAAGGGGTATGCAACTCAAAACATAATGGCCGCATGTGACTTTGATATGTGTTTCACCTTTTGCTTATCAGGATGGGAAGGAAGTGCACACGATACTCGGATCTTCTTGGATACAATTAGGAATCCTAGTTATAATTTTCCAAAACCACAAGGAGGTAACTGTTTTATATTTTATTGCTATAGTAGATGCACTACACTCACATCTTCATAGTTATTTTTACATTTATAATTGCTTACTTTAATTACATTTTGCAATTTTAAAATAGATGAGTTTTACTTGGTAGATGCTGGGTATCCAAACATGAAAGGATATCTTGCACCTTACAAAGGAGAGAGATATCATCTAGCTCAATTTGAACATGGTCAACCCCCTCAAAATGCACAAGAAAAATTCAACCAAGCACATTCATCACTTAGAAGTGTAATAGAAAGAACGTTTGGCGTTTGGAAAGTAAGATGGCCGATGATAAAGGATATCCCACCAAACTACAGTTGGGCGACCCAAGTCAAACTTGTTTGTGCAACAATGGCAATTCATAATTTCATCCGACGCAGTGAGTTCCGCGATATTGCATTTGACTCTTATGATAGATTCGCGAATTATGTGCCTAATGAAGAAGAAGGATCTTCATCTCAACAAGCACGCCATGGAAATGATGTTGACTGTGATGACACTGAGATGGAACTGAGGAGACATAATATTTGTATGTCAATTTGCCGACGAAATTAGGAGATCTTTAAATATTTATGAAATTTTAATTTTATTGCTTTAATAGTAATTTCTTGTATTTTTATTGCAATAAACATTTTTTTGTTTCCTTTTCAACTCAATATTATTACAAAAAACATTTAAAAAATAAAAAAAAAGTAAGAAAATAAATTTGAGGTCATGAAATGTACAAAATTAGGTACTAATTAATTAACTTCCATTAATGAAATAACTTTTTCACAATTTAAAGAAAAGAAAATGACAAAATTAAAAATTTTCTGTTCATAGGGGCAAAAAGGACAATTATAGAGCAAAAAGCTATTTTACAGCTTATTTACCAAACACTACTCTGCTGCTTAAATCTATAATCCCACAGTTACACCAAACAGGTTACCAGCTTATACTCACAGCTATAAGCTATAATCTGTTAAGCTATAATCTATAATCACTTTCCAACAGCTCTACCAAACGGGGCCAGGGTCATGTAGAGTGGGATAAAGGTACTCTGGGATTGCACAGGGTTGGCTGAAGGTTGTGGAGTTATATTGGCAAAGGGATTGGTGGTATTGGTTGTGGTGACAACACTTACATCTAATGGCCTTGCAACTGTGTTACCACTAGCAACATTGGAATTGTGAACAAACGGCCTTTTGGTTGGCTCTTTATCATCAATAATGAGCCCCTGCTTCATAGCATCTTCAATCTGAACCCCTATTTCATGGAGCTTTGAGAACGTGGATAACGGGAGAACAATCATTTTCTGTAATAGCTTGCCTTGGAGATTTTGGACGACCATCCCTATCTGATCCTTCTTGGAAGGCCTCGTGGTCATCATCAAGGCTTTAGCTCTCTACCTTGTTACAAAATCAGAGAAACCCTCTTTCGGTTCTTAACGTATTGCTTCGAGATCATGAATTGTGACCTCGATTTGGGTATTGTAAGAGTACTGAGCCATGAAGGCTTCGGCCAATTCCTTCCAATTTCGTTTCACTGAATCTTCCAACTTGGCATACCAGATGGCCGCTATACCTGACATAGTGCGACCGAAAAGGGATAGCTTCTGTAATTGGGTCAAGCCCATGGGTCACAAAAATTCGAAAACAAACACAAATGCACCATTGGGTCGCCAGAACCATTAAAGCGATCAATGTGCGGCATTTTAAACCGCTCTGGTAAGGTAACTATAAACTTGGTGTACCCTTCCTCTATGTCTGGAATGGAGTCGACTCCTTGTTCTTTTTTGAACAATTTCTCTAGTTTGTTGACCTTAAGCACAGTCGGGTCAACCTTAAATTCAAATGGAGCCTCAGTTTGATATACAGGTGCTTTGGAGGCCTGTGTTGGGATCGGTTCTGCTAGATTGCCTTGATTTTCCTAGACATTAGCGGTGTGGGCAATGGCTCCGGGTGTTGGGATACCCGTAGGAGGTACATGAGCAGGAGGTGCATGAGATGCAGAGGCCGCTGCCGGTTGACGTTGTTGTTGTTGCAACCTGTTTAAAACCTTAGCCTGACGGGCTGTGACTTCGGTTTGTCGAGCAGCATCTTGCTGCATGGTTTCAACTGTTTGCTGAAGGTGATGAATCAAGTCTTCCATACTGACCAGGGGATACTGTGCCATTGGAATGGGCGAATGATCTCGGACTGGACTAGATGTAGAAGATTGAGCCTGACTAGATGTAAGTGAAATGAGACGTGATTGTTGTAGAAACTGGACTGGTGAACTGTGCTTAACTCTTCTCCGTTTAGTAACCGGTAGGAGTGAAGCAAACACAGGCTGTCCCCTAACAAGATCTCCGGTTCTGTAAAGCCTTCTGACACGGGTCTAGAGTATTTGAGGGATATCAGGTCTTCTGAAGCTATGTTGGTAAACTACCTAGCAAAAAGAAAGAATAAAATCAAAATTGGACAACACTTCAACCCTAATTCACAACAATCATCACACATAGCTAAACTGTAATCCCTACTGAACTATGTTCTCAAACTCATGCTAATATTAGCCATTCTATACAGTCTCACTGAAAAAGCACATATCATGTAAAAACACCAAAACACCTTTATGAGGGGGTAGCGTTACCCTGTCTTAGATTTTTGGCATGATCTAAGCTGCACTATTTCAAACAAGTTTCACAACATCGTACAAATGGGTGGTATCATGTCCTAAGTTGGAATAGTCACTATAGCTTCATTATATGTAACTAGGTCGAATAGTCAAAAGGTTACCTCGACAAGATTACCTAATATATCTCTCACACCTAACACCGAGAAGTGAAAGGTGAATCAAGTGGTACGACGGTAATCCAGATCCAAGGGTTGTGTTCCCATCGTGGCAGAGCTCGTGACCAGTCAGCCTTTTGGCAAGCTTTTCAGACAAGCCTCCGGCAAACCGTCCAGGAATAGCAGATGACAAACACAGTGACTTAGGTGCACCAATGCAAATGCAATGCAAAGAACATATATAAGTAGATAAAATTTCACATAATGAGTTTTAAGTCAAGTTCTCTAATTATCCCCAGCAAAGTCGCTAGAAACTGTAGCTCGACTTTTTCACGCCCCCTTTTAGAAGTCAAAATAACCCTTACAGTATCGGACTCCCGCGGTTCTGAATCTGATTTCACAAGTGCAATGTGAAATAGATAAACACCAAATAGTCCAAATTCGACGAATCTTTTGGAAAATTGATTTTGAATCAAATTGCCAAAAATGGACTGCTTTGCCAGATACAGAGTCGCCACCTAAATGTTTTATTTTGGAAAAATTTAGGAAACCCATGACTCGTGCCAAAAGTCACGTGTCCGTCATCACCAAGATTGTCTCGGCTCGAGAACTTAGGTACAGGAGGAAAAGTCATAAATTGAGCACCCCCACTTGCCCGATCAAAGACCGGCCTCTACTAATTATGATATGAATCTTACTTTGCGTTATATGTTCTTGTTCCAGTTATTAATGTAGCATTACTATGTGATGCGCACATACAAGTATAGACTAACTTGCAAAAATTGGAACACTTGAGTCATGTTTGTTTTCTGAAAAGAGTTTGAATTTTCCACTTGAAAAGTGGGCTGAAATGTGTATGGCTCAAATTATTCCAATTCAAACAATTAGCCTTCATCCATAGGCATACAAGAAGGTATATCAATTAAGCACTTAGCCTCATGGTAAGCATGGTAGACATGGCAACAATCATACTCATGCAATATGCTAAAGCAAGTAAAGGCTCACCTCGTACTCCATGCCAAAAAGACATAAGAGAGAGTTAGAAAAAATACATGATTCCTAACTATGCAATATGAATAATGCAACACATGCGATATGCAACCTAAAATAGGCTCGACTCCTTAACATGGCATATGAATCAATTGATAGCATGTGGTTTAAGCACGTATTCAAATAAGTATTAAACTAAAAATGTAGTTGGAATGGCGAACCGAGCCTCGGTGCGTGCAATACAAGTGGATGCAAACATGAAGAATGCTAATTTAAACGGGATGTCCCTATACTAACCATCATAAGCAATTAAATAAAAGGGAGAAAGACGTAGGGTTGGAAGACATACACATTATTACAACATTATGCTCTCACGAAGGAGAGTCCGAATGAATAAACTAACTAGCTAATTATTTAAGCTAACCTAATTAATTAACTATTACAAATCAAATGAAATAAATTAACTCACAACTAATTAACTACTTTAGCTAATTAAATAATTACAACACAAGTATAATTGAAAGAAGTAAGTAAGCTAAACAACTAATTACTCCGCCTCAGGAAGCGAGGAATGTTCATGTGCATGCTCGATTTCCACCTGAAAAGCCACTGTTTTGCTTCTAGAGAGCCTCTGTTGCACAATAGAGCACATACACAGTTGCCCACTTCCAAAATGGCTTTACTCAACCAAAGGAAAACACTGCTGAATTTTGCATTAGTGGCCGGCCGGCCACTGGTGAGGGATGTCGGCCATCAAAGGTGGTCTGCCGGCCACTGCTGGCCATGGAAAGTGCCTTGCCGGCCACTGCTGCCCAGTTCACCTTGTCGCATCAGAGGACAAACAGAGCATGCACAGGGTATTCTTTAGTGCACAACTCACCCCTCATTTTCATGACTGAATCAAATGAGAAGTAAACTTAAGCCACAAACCACTAACTCAAGCAATTTCATTGCATGATGGCTTGTGAATCAAAGTATGCAAGTTCAATAAATGCAACAAAATATGACTCTAACCTCTTCCCTTTCATGGAATTGATCAAGGGACGTGGTGACCTGAGAAACTTGAATCATTTCATCACTAATGAGTATAAACTGCCTCAAGT